GATGTTGATGTTGATGAATGAAAAATGAATATTTTGACAAGTCTAAAATTAATCATCATCGGGAAGCAAGGATTTATGTAGTTTGACTAAAACTAGATAAACACGATAGGACATTTTAAGGTACAGGGTGTTTCTTCAAATATGACTGTGAAGTATCTGCGGTGGTGTCTTGATCTCTCATTTTAAATCTGCCAACAATAGCAAGATCTGCTAAACTTAAAAATTCAAGATACTAAGCCCAACAAAAAAGTATGAAACAGCAAATACGAAAAATCAACATTAAAGGGTGAAAAGCCACGCAACCTTTTTTATTTAAACATTTTAAAGTCGTCCTCCATTATAAACTGCCATGTTTTGTGTGACACTCTGTAATACGCATTTCATTGATGCACATTTGGGGCTTAAAAAAGTGAAAAAATAATCAATGATCGCAGATAGCCCATCTATGAATAATCATCATCTTACGTTAAACTAAAAGTAAATTGCAGGAAAAATTTTAATATTATATCGCTAATTAAATTTTTAAATTTCATTATTCCATATTTTTCCCCCGGTTTTGTAAACTTTTTTAGGTATATTGGCCTTTTTTATTGTTATAATTTTTTCATTTAACTATGTAATAATTTTGGTCATTTTCTGTATAGGACTGATGAGGATATAAAAATAAATCAAAATTAATTTTTAAACCCAAGTTTTTCTATCTGCGAGAGTAAAAACTTTTTTTGCCAATAAGACCAATATAGATTTGCTAATTATATATGCTGTTAGATAATTTTTCAAAAAAATAAAATAATAGAATATGTTTTAAATGTTTAAAATGATTGATAATGTCTAAATAGGTATATATATACTATATTTCAAATGTTTGAAAATGTTTAAACATAATAGAATACGTTAATAAATGTTCAAAATGTTTGATAATGTTTAAACATGTTTAAGCTATATTTGAAAATATTTGAAAATGTTTTAAATTATATCTGATATGTTTGAAAATACTTTAAAATGTTTAAAAAGGTTTGAAAATGGTTGAAAATATTTAAAAATGTTTGAAAATATTTAAAAATGTTTGAAAATGTTTGAAAATGTTTGAACATATTTGAAAATGTTTAAAAAGGTTTGAAAATGTTTTAAAATGTTTTAAAATGTTTGAAATGGTTTGCAAATGTTTGCAAATATTGTAAAATGTTTTAAAAAGTTTGAAAATGTTTTAAAAAGTTTGAAAAAGTTCCTAAAATCTGTTTCCTCTGTCTCTGACACTGTCCCCCCAGGATGTCTCCATGAGGATGGTTTCCTAGAGAATCCACGTCGTTTACTCAAACAAACTCCTGGCAAATATAAATTATAATTAAAAACCATGAAATGTAAAAATTAGAAAGATGATGTAAAACTGTAAAAAAATCCATACCCCAGAATGTTTACTGCAAGGGATTGTTTATTTTTCTGTATATCATGATTTATCTCTTATATTGATTTCTGATATTTACATCTTTTACCACACCAAATGCAGCACACATTCATGAAGTGTAGTACACATACACACTAAACTTACCAAAGTTCACAATGACACAGAAATTGTATTTTCATGTACCTAAATGTACTTCCAACCCCGGTCCCATTTATGACCAGAAATGGAATTACATGGACAAGATCAAGGTTATAATGCAAGGAAAATTATTTCAGAGGTGTGCGGATCTTTTGTACTGCAGTATACTGTCTCTGGGCGGTAAGGCAAACACAAGATGGATGTCGAAGCCTGACATGGGTTCCATCTTTCACATAAAAATCAATAAAATATTCTGGTCATAGGAAACTATTATGTGAATTATCAAAATTATCAAAATTTAATGCTTTTAACCTCCTCGGATACTAAACGAACACTGATGCATCTATTTTTGTTTACAAACTGCGCCCTGCGAGAACTGGTTTCAATATGTACGCAGAGTATACGCAACTGCAATTAAATTTCCTTGCATTATAACCTTGGGCAGGATTAAACTGCACTGTATCTCAACCCGCCCAAACCAAACTTCCTCATCAGTATTTCAGATTTAAACAGACTTTTTTACTTCTTATTGTTGGTTAATAATTGTACAGGGTGTCCCACGAAACATGACAGACTTTTTGTGCAGTTTATTTAGTTAAAATATATTTTACTTTGAACTCAATTTAACAACGATTTGACTGTCATATACATTTTTTATTATTCTCTTTAGTATCAAACAACTTAAAAATCATGGAAGAAGACATTTCAAACTATTTACCAACTGTCATATTCCGTGGTACACACTGTAAGTTCAGCGTATTATGTTTAAATATAGAACATGGTATACCATGCACCTGAAATACGGTGGTTAACATTCTTTTATAAGGAAGGACAAATTCAGTTCCAGAGATAAGAGAGTTCAAGGAACTATATACTATGTACTGAAATGGGAGGAGATCAAAACAAAGAATTCAGGGGCAACGCATCATTTTTGAGGGAAAAGGCCCCAAGGAGTAGAATAAGGATATATTGCTATTGTATTTTCCTTATTAACCAGAAAGCCAAAAATCATAAGTATTCGCTCAACTTGATATATTAATTTGTCTTTTGTTGGACTTTAATATCACATCAGAGCTGGTAGTCCTTTCCCTTCAATTTCTTTGGGGGCAATGGGTTTGTTTACATTCCACCCAACCCACAGTGTACAGTACATAATATGCGTATATCTGAGTTGGGCGTTCCTGTATATAGTTCCTTGCAGCATGTTAATAAATTGTGTACAACTGGAGTACACGACCAATAAGAAAACATTTATACTCAGCCTTTAAAGGGACTGTTTACTCATTTGAGTAATTTGAGAGTAAACTAAATAGCCTATTAGCTATTAATTGGTATTAGTCTTACTTTTTAAAGATAACTGTGACCTGAAAAAAAGCCGATTTATCGATCAGAATTCCAGCGCAAAGGTATGAAACCTTTGCATTTACACTATTTGGTGCTTTTTGTCATAGTCATGGATTTTTAAAAATTTCAAATATTAAATTAAATTGTAGTATCTAATAATTAATTGTAGATATCTTAATTTTTTCCCAAAATCATTTTTAAATTGCCTTTTTTATTAAAATAACTCATGTTAAGCATTTGACGGTTTGATACGTTTTCCAGAAATTTCCTGATTTATTGAAGAGTTGTAAACTTGGAATCTACAAACCGGTTTGTCTGAGAGAGAAAGTCGTCTTTGTATAAACGTTTTGATTTCTTAAATCTTGTTAGAACACGAAAAAACGTTAATTTCATGCTAATTCTAAAATCAAAAGTTTTTATATTTGTTATATAATGGCTGACTCATGATGTCATTGAAATATGACAATTTAAAACTTTATTGGGCTGTTGCTCCTGAAAAAACGTTTAAATAGTGTCTATGCAAAGGTATCATACCTTTCCGCTGGAATACTAAACGATTAATTGGCCTTTTCTCCGGTCTTAGATATCTTTGAAAAGTAAGACTAATAACAATGAATAGCTAATAGGCTAATTAGTTTACCATGAAATTACTCAAATAAGTGAACAGTCCCTGTAAATACGAAATACAAATCTTTTAAAAATAGACTGAATTTATATTCATTATATTTATGTTTCAACTTAGAATTATTTAAAGACAAATCTTTCAACCGGTTAGAAAATAAAACGATCAGACATATGACCACGACAAATGAAAATCAATTTAATAATATTGTTCTTTTATTTAATTCATAATCAGAGTGATTTTAATTTAGTTGGAGAAAATTTTCAAGCTTTAATAACCTATCGGAAAAAATCAAAATTCACTCAAATTGTTTTAAAATCGTGATTATGAAGCGGGATACATTTTTTTTATGGAATTTATCATTCTTCCTCACTTCATCGTGAATCTCATGATGAACTTGCTATAAAGTAATCATCGTGCTATAAGTTAAATTAGCTGTACATTGTAGCACGTGTGCTATAGATTTGATTGGTTTCCAGATTTTCTCCATAATTTAGGATATTTCCAAAATATTTTTTTTCAATTGAAATGAAAATAAAATTGAAATCAACTTTATATTTTGACTTCTGCTTTGTTTCAAAGCTTATTTGATCTAGAAATAGGCATTGCAATAAGACAAGTACACAAACTTTTCATAAAATTTAAGTTTGTGTCAAAAACTCGAAGTTCCTTTGTGAACAAAATTATAGAAACAGCAAAGGAAATCATGATAATGAAATAATCGATGCTACGGTTATGACTATGGCAGTCATCGATAACTTATTTTAAGAAATATGTTCCCAAACAGTAGATTAGTCTAGAAAATATTTTTTTTAACTTGTCTTAAATAATTGCAAAAAACGTTTCTTCTGTTGAATGAAAAAACTTGTGAAATAAATTAAACAACTTTACGCTCTTATTTAAAATTTGTACACCTTAAAATGTTTTATTAAATATTATTAAAATTATTATGTTTTAGTATTAAATAAATCCTACATTTGTTCTCTAAAATACTGCCTTTTTCTAACATCGTACCTGGAATCTTTCCGGCGCCGTCCTTTAGAAACAGCTCCACCCTGTTGCTTGTATTACAGATCTGATCAGCAACTCCTGTTTCCTCTCCCACCTCCTCTCCTGTTTCCTCAACAGGATCTACAGCTATTGTAGGAACTACTGTTTCAGACATACTGTCGACTGGGCCATTAATCTCACTAGAAGGGGACTATTTATCAGGTGAACTCGTCCTTTTTTGAAAAATTCTCTTGTTGCTTGAAGGTTGGCCCGGTACTCCAAATAAGGCGTAGTTTACAGTGCGGTGGATTGCCCTGTGATTACTTCGTATAGCATGTACTGTACAAAATTCTTACGTCATAGCCCGGCGGACTGTTCGGTACATCAAATCAACCGCAGCTAACACTTGAAAAATATATCTGAAATAATTTATTTGCAGGGTCCAGACGAGTTATTGAATCTGATAGATCGGCCAGCATCCGTCTCATTTTCCACCTTACATTCATTAAACATAGTCAAATATTTCCACTTAGTTTAAATGTATGTTATGTCTGAATCACTAAATCGGAAAGGATAGGGGGTGTTCCGTTTTGTAGATTTCACCTCTTTTTACAATCTATTTTGTAGATTTATTTTAAGAAATATAAATTTTGTAGATTTCACTTTTTTTGGTGGATTGTTGTAGGTTTCACTTTATGTTGCATCACATTCATGTTACTTTGAATTGCAAAGCTGATGCAAATAACACTAATCTGTCTTGGTTAAGCTTTTTGAAAAGATTTTAGACATTTACAATCTAAAATGCAAGTTAAGAGGTCAGAAAAGTGATAAATTACAGATATTTTGTCAAAGTAGATCCATACATTAAACATTTTACGTGTATTCGCTCGTTTTAAGCTTTCGCAAAATTTGTTTTTTAAATTTGTATTTCAACTTTAAGAATGTTTTAGAGAAAGATTATGCAACAATGATTTTTTTTTAATTTAGGGAACTCTATCAAAATAAATAAAATGTGCAATTTGCACCCTTTTCTGAACATACATTTGCTTATACCTTTCATCAATCTAAATTGCATAAATTGCACAGGCTTCTTGTGCAGAAACATTTGCTATACAGAACACAATGGAATAGGTAAACATTATAGCAAAACATAAGTTTACTTGAAGTTGTGAAGAAAAGCAATTAGTTTTACAAGATACTTATTAACTTTAGTGAATGGGTCTGTTTACACTGCACAATTGCTGTATCTCAAACAAACTCATTGGACTTTTAAAATTTTTAACTTGATTCTAAAAGTCATTTTCTTATTTCAGAGTTTTCTGGTTATCATAGTGTACTAAATTTGCCAACAAAAGGTAAATTCTGCTTAGCACAGAGAAGCCTATATTGTTTCCCTGCTATTAAAAGTTATATAACTAATTCAGCAACTAGCTGTATTTCTAGACTTGAGCCTATTATTGTGCTGGAGCAGTCTAAATTCCAATCATATTTAACAAATTAAAAATCACTAATTAAATTTCACATTCTTAAAACTGACAGCTATGATGGATAAAACCATGAATAGGCTCGTAGCGAGGTATTTACTAAATGTTTAATTGTTTAACTTAAGGTATAACTGTAGTATCTGTATGCAAGCTAGGTTGGAGGGACAACTGTTCTGACCGTCAAGCAGTCTCTAGATATACTGCCCAACTAGAGAGTACACTCTACACACCATACAATCTACACACCATACACTCTACTCACGATACACTATACACACCATACACTCTACACACGATACACTCTACACACCATACACTCTACACACCCTACACTATACACACCATACACTCTACACATGATACACTCTACACACCATACACTCTACACACCCTACGCTCTACACACCCTACAGTACACCTTACACGCCATACACTCTACATACCATACACTCTACACACCATATACTCTACACACCATATATTCTAAACACCATATACTCTACACACCATACAATCTACACACCATATACTCTACACACCATATACTCTAAATACCCTACACTCTACACACCATACACTCTACACACCATACACTCTACACACCATACACTCTACACACCATATACTCTACACACCATATACTCTAAACACCCTACACTCTACACACCGCGCGTACACCCTACACGCTATACACTCTAAACACCATGCACTTTGCACACACCATACACTCTACACACCATACACTCTACACACAATACACTATAAACAAGTTACAACATAGACTCTACACACGACACAATATTAAGTCATACACTCTACACACATTATTAAGCCTTACACTCTACACACAATACTAGGTCTGTTTACATTGCACAATTGCTGAGTTTCATTCTCACTGGATTTTTGAAAGTTGTAACTTGAGTCTAAAATTCGTCTTTCTATTTCTTTTTTTGATCAAATTTTTTCTAGCAGTCCTAATACGTCACAATTAAATGTATACATTGTTCACAACCCCTATCTCCACTTTCATTTAGTTTACAGGATTACCCGAAAAGGATGAGACTGTAAAGACGACCTGAAAAATATCGTCGTTTAACGGCTAGGAACCATGGATATAAGATTAAAGACAATAAAAATTCCGTACAGTCGTCTCTGAAGTCTCATCCTTTGTGGGTGCCCTGTATTAGTATACATACCTTGCACAACACTATATAAACACTTACTAAAACAGATGCCCCTATATATATAAACACCTCTTTTCAAAATACAATTTAAGAATTTAAAAAAAGAAACAATAGAACAAAGTTATAAATATGAACGACTGTGGTCTGTGAAATTCTAATTTTACACTCTCTGCAGCAAACCAAAATTTCGTTTTAACCTGATGGTGTAAATTCATTAATGTTTGAAATATCTAAGGTCTAAGACATTGGATTGCAAAGATATAGGGATTAGATTTTTTTTTTAAAACTACATATTAATTATCTCCGTATCGAGATTATTTTAAAGATACAAAATTGTTTATATTATTTTTACAAAAAAGGTTGTACGTGGTACTACATTTACATACTTTGTAATTTAGTTTAGAAAGTAGCTTGAATTTGCGGATATATTTTTTTCTTTTTTTCAATATTTACATTAAACTTTGTTTCTTTGGAAAATAAATCTTTTTTTCCTGTATTTTGGACTATAAAATTAAAATAAGTTACAGTATTGCTGGGAATAGAGTTCCCCTTTTTTAAAGGTCGACTTTATTCCCAGGGATTAGAAAATCAGAGTTTATGGCAAAGACTCCATTCCTTTCAGATAAAAATAATAAATATTCAATTTATAGAAAGAAGTAAAATCATACAGAGTTCTGACAAAATACATTGAGATTATTTTGGACAGAGGTAGAGGTTTAAACACAGCAGATCAGAGTTCATCCTTCAATCTAAACATATTTACATGTTAGAGCGACGAAAAAATGGGGTCTCCAACAAAAATATGGGGTCTACAATTAACATCTAGGGGTTTCCAATGACAATATGGGGGTCTCCAACGAAAATATGGGTTCTACAATGAAAATAAGGGGTCTACAATGCAAATCTGGGGGTCTCCTATGCAAATCTGGGGGTCTCCTATGCAAATCTGGGGGTCTCCAATGAAAATCTGGGGGTCTCCAACGACAATTTGGGTCTGCAATTAAAATATTGGGTCTTCAAAGAAAATCTGGGGGTCTCCTATGAAAATCTGGGGGTCTCCAATAAAAATCTGGGGTCGCCAATAAAAATATATTGGATCTGCAATGAAAATATGGGGTCTCCAATAAAACTTGTGTGTTTCAAATAAAAATCTGGGGGCCTCCAATGAAAATCTAGGGGTCTCCTATGAAAATCTGGGGGTCTCCAATGAAAATCTGGGGGTCTCCAACGACAATTTGGGTCTGTAATGAAAATATTGAGTCTTCAAAGAAAAGCTGGGGTCTCCAACGAAAATATATGGGGTCTGCAATGAAAATATGAGGTCTCTAATAAAAACATGGGTGTTTCAAATGAAAATCTGGGGGTCTCCTACGAGAATCTGGGGGTCTCCAATAGCTCTCCAATGATGATGATTTTTTCCAAGACTCCCTTAAAAGCCTTAAATATTGAACTATACCTCTTGTACTGTTCTGCAGTGTTAGCAAACTGCCTGAAAACCCAGGCCACTGTATCTCCATCTACTTGGACTGTACCCAATACAGTGTTAAGCTAAACAAAATACAGATCGTCTATCATATTTGAATTGGTTTGCGGCATTTATCTGTCAATTCAATTTTAGTATGCTTCATAAAACTAAACATGTTTATAGATACACCTTTTCTGGTATCATGTGGTCTGCTTTTTATGCTTTTTAAAATTATCTACAGGGTGTCCCAATAAACATGGGAATTCAGTGACGAATTCGATATCGTCTTTTTAAATAAATCTTTGATTTAGTATGGTGATACCTACTGAGAAAGCTGTAATCTGTAAGAGTTTCGTCTGCTATGTTTACATTTTGTTTGTTTATGTTTTGACTGCATACGGTTGTACTTAGTGAAACAAGAAAATCACTGTATACAAACAGGGTGAACTTGTCCATCTTCACTGTTCATCTTGCGGAGACATCATAGACACATCTTTGCAGTCTTTTACCCTTTTTATAGAATAAACTCTAGCAGACAAAATAATATTATGGCTTTTGAAATTAGGTATTACAATGCTAATTCATAACAAAGACGATTGTCAATTCGTCACTTAATTCCCATGTTTTTTGGGACACCCTTTATTTATCAAAGAATGAAGACAGCCTTCAAGTGTGATAATGTTCAAAAGCGCATGCCTCAAAATAGATTTAAGTTGTGCAGTTGCACTCCTTCCTTAATGCTTGCATGATTTCATTAAAAAACGTTGCAGGAAGACGACAGGCAAAAATGTGTTAAATGAAGACGACATATGATATTGTTAAATAAAACCGACATTAAAATATTACCCCGTCCTCGAAATATTCTTCCACTATTTCATCGGTAGATCTACGTTTCCTTTTACCAGTTGTTCCCTTAACAAACAGTTTTATTAGTTAATGTTAATCATTAAAAGTATAAAAGGAGAGTTTTAAAACTTATTATTGGATTAACAAGTGACGCCAAGCATCACTATTTGGTAGTGTTTTCTATACAGATCTGAAGACTTTAGAATGAGATATCCTTAATCCCGATTACTTAATCTGAGTATCCAATGGACACACTTTTGATTTTCTTCTTAAACCGTTCTTTCTTGAATAAAGTAGAGAAAAATCAAAAACCAGTTTTTCTGAATTAGAGGGTTCCTCCCATTTATGTATATAATCTTAAATGACGCGCAAAATTTCAAATTTATCGGCTTCATATACGCGACTCTGGTTGGTTGAATTTTATACACTTTTCAGAGCCTGCGATTTAAAAGCTTCGGCTCGAGTCTTAATTCCTTAAACGCAGCTTTAAGACCCAATCTTAGACCCAACTCTGACGACAGCTTGTGTCACGTGATTGACAGCTGCGAGATCTTAGGGAGTTAAGCCCAATGAAAATAAAACCGACCTTGGTTGGTTTTAGTGAAGAAAGGCTCAATGTTGGGTCTTATTCTCATCAAAACTCGGAATGCACCAATTCCAACTATGAAAATCCGCCAAATACAACATTAAACCGGTTTTATGAACTAAATTCTGTTGAAAAATAGATGCAACTTAAATTCGAAAGCCCGAGCCGTAAATAAGGCTCAACAACAGCTTAGACCCGAGTCGTATTTTCTTGAATTTTTTAAATCGCCGGCTCAGGATAAAAATACAAGATTAGGTTAGTCTTGATATTAAGCAAAAGAGAGGATCAAGCATTAATATCGATATCCACCATTCTAAAGTTTTCTTTACAGTTCATTTAATATACAAAGGTTATGAATTTACGGAATTATACTGTCTGTTTCCTAAAATGTATGATTCCTTGTATTGACCATAAATTTGTTTATTTCTTTGCCAAATCAATAAAAAGGGCAAAAAATTACTTTATTAAAGGCAGAAGACTTAATTCGACCTTGGAATCGATATGCTAAAATGTTTCCGGTCCCCCTATACAATCGCATCCTTGTAACCCTCTCTGTAATTACTAATTAGGACTTTGTCAAAAAATGAAGAAAATTAAAAGAAATAAAACATTTACGAATTAAAAAGGATTTCTAACATATATCTTTAGTATGTTTCAGAAAATCGGAGTAAAAAGTCGACATTTAGACTTAATTATGACTTTAAATATATCGGTAAAAATGAAGCAATATAAGCAGACCCATTTAATTTGACAAGTGATTTCATGACTTAATACTAGTAAAGCTATTTGTTTAGTAACTTTAGTCCTACTTTAATGTCGTCTTCCTATTCTACATTTTTCTGGTTATCACTGTATCAAATAATTCACTTTCAGAACTATCAAAAAGAAGATAAAATTTATGTTTGATAAATCAACTTTTCATTTTGAACCTGTTTTTCCCTCTAGTTTTTCTACCCTTAAAGTGCATATTCATGGTGCAGTGCCAATTTATATATTAATTATTGCATGTCAGTTAATTAACTATGTTTGATTTACTCCCCCCTATCTCTCTACCCCATCACCATTTTCTCAATTTCTCTTGCATTAAAGGAACCGTTCACTTATTTGGGAGATTTCAGGGTAAACTAAATAGCCTATTGTCTATTCATGGCTAGTCATAGATTACTTTAGCCTGAGAAAAGCTGAAATTAGCATCCAGAGGGTTACCCACAATAAATGAGACTATAATGACGACATGAAACTTTTAATATGTCGCAATGTCGAATTAAGTCTTCTGCCTTGAAAAAAGTCTTTTCAAGGCCTCTTTGCATTCAATGGGTAAAAAACGAAAATTTTAAAGTTGGAGGGAATCAAGAATATAAGGAAACAGACATTAGAAATTTGGCACAGTCGTCCTTTGTAATTCTGTATCTTGAAAAAACGATAAATTCTGTTAGTTCCCTTCCTTGTCTCGACTTATCAATTTTTAGATTTCAAAACAAGAATAAAATCATAATTTTGTAAATTGAACATTGGGAAATTAAAACTACGTTGACAGTCCCTTTAAGACCAATGACCTGCAAGGCTGCAGGCTGCAAGCGTCCGCGTAAAACTAACCAGAACGAAGTGCATCCGAATGTTTTGGAATATTTTTAGTAAAATTTTGATCTCTCGTTCAAAGTTCAAAAGACTTTTTATACTTTAATGACAAGACAAAATAGCCCAACATAAAAGTATAAAATATAATAGACGAGAAATCTACATTTAATTAGTATAATGGAGTCTTAAGTTAGGACTTATAAGACTGTTGTCCAAGACCTTTAGTAAAGAGTGGCGTACCCTACCTGTGTTACGGACATGAGAAAGAACCAGAATAAAGTTGAGCAGAAGAAATTAACGGCGTTCTGTGCAATATGAATCAATATATTCTCAGGTAGCAGTGTACCAATATATACCAGAGCAGGAGTAATAGTGATTCCGGCTACAGTGATCTCTGTTGTTAGAGGATCAAATATATCATTGGGAATATCTTCGACTGCAGCCTCGGCTTCCTCAATCGCTGAAAACATTTGAGAATTAAAAAGATCAAGAAAAATAAGATCTGAAAAAAAAATCAAGAAAAGCAAATCAATATAACATGTTTCGTAAAAAGATCAAAATACATTGGCGTTAAAAAAAATCAAGAAAAATATAACCGTTAAAAACCAAGAAAAATATGGTCCGTGAAAAAAGAACAAGAAAAACACGATATTTGAAAAACATTAAGAAAAACATCATCCGTAGTTAGAAAGATCAAGAAATACATGAGAGTTGAAAATATCAAGGAAAGTACATGATCATTAAAAAAATCATAAAAAACACAGCATAGTTATAAAAATTAATAAAATCGTGACCGTTAAAAAAGATAAAGAAACACATGATCAGTAAAAAAGATCAAGAAACATATGATCCGTAAAAAAGGATTAAGAAAAACATGATTGTTAAAAATGATCGGAAAAAGTATGATCCGTAAAAAAGATCAAGAAAAATATGTTCGTTAAAAAGATCAAGAAAACCCTGATTTGTTAAATAAAAACAAGAAAACATGATCGTTCAAAAATATCAGGAAAATATTATTGTTAAAAAAGATTTTAAAAATATGATATTTACAAAAGATTATAACAAACATGATCGCTTAAAATATTATGAAAAATATGATTGTTAAAAAAGTTTAGGCAAACATTATGAGAAGAAGAAAAAATTATCCGTAAAAAAACAATAAAACTATTATCGTTATAAAAATTAATAATATATCATGATCGTGAAAAACAAAACAAACAAAAAACATGAGTACTAAAAGATAAAAACACATGGGCGTACAAAAAAAGGTAAAAAAAACCGTAACGATCAATTTAGAGTTAAAATGCATATTCTACCTAACTTGCGAAATTGTGAGTAATTACTCCAAATGAAGTAAAATTAAATTATAACTACCAACTGATCCAGCTTGCTTGAATTCCTGTTCAGGATATAGGTTTCCATCAATACTGTTTCCGTATTCATTGTCGTATTCACGATCCAGACAGTTCCCTAGATACAGATACAGATACAGGTATAGATACAGATACAGATACAGATACAGATGCAGATGCAGATACAGATACAGATACAGATACAGATACAGATACAGATACAGATACAGATACAGATACAGATACATACAGATACAGATACACATACATATACAGATACAGACACAGATACAGATACAGATACAGATACAGATACAGATACAGATACAGATACAGATACAGATACAGATACAGATACAGATACAGATACTGATACTGATACATATACAGATACAGATACAGATACAGATACAGATACAGATACAGATAAAGATACAGATACAGATACAGATACAGATACAGATACATACAGATACAGATACACATACATATACAGATACAGACACAGATACAGACACAGATACAGATACCGATACCGATACAGATACAGATACAGATACAGATACAGATACAGATAAAGATATGAATTAATAAAATTTAAAAAAGTTTAAATGACCTGTAATAAGTAGACATAAAAAGACAACACTGCTGAGCAGTTTTGGCATTATAAATTCTAAAAAATAAAATAACTTAAAACAATCGACATTTTTTCCCTGGGTTGATATGAGATGCCACGGTAAAAATCGGGCCCGAACTTTTTTGCCACAAACTCAAATTTTCTAATCCCCATATCTTTACAACGTGATGATGTATATAAACCTTTGATATTTTAAACTTACAAAAACACATTGGCTTAACCAAATTCATATTCATTGGGTTGCAAAGACCTAGAAAGTAAAATATTAGAGTTTGAGGCAAACACTAAATGTCCGATAAATCCTGGTTTATTGAAAATTTCATGTGGATTATAACATGCCCTGACAAGTGACCTACATTAACGTATTATAATTCCTGATTTTAATTCTTGTTTTGAAACTGCTTTTGTAAATATTAATGAAAATTTTCCTTAAAATGTAATCAAATCAAATGTACGTTGAGTAAAAACCGCACATTTGATAATTTTATGGTTAACTTTTTAAAGTTTTGCTTATTAAATAGGTAAACACATATGTTTTCTAATAAACCTTAATTGATTATTCAACTATAGGTCTCTAAGATTACAAAATATATATCAGCTAAGAAACTCATAGAAAATGTTTTTTATGAAGTCAAAATAAACGTACTAACTAACATTTAAAAATGTTGGAGCATATTATACTTCTGATAATCTTGTATGTATAAATACAATAACAGTTTTTTTTGATTTAATCAAATAATCATAACATAATTTATACATATTTCATTGAAATCACGTGTATTGACTTAAAAAGTGTAAAGTAAATGTATAATAAGCTCCCCCCCCCTTCCGCCTCTTTATATCTATATTGATAAGAACTTATCCGCTGAAGGATTTGATTGACAGGTTTTGAACCCGGTTGCATGGCGCACACATCCCGTATCTATTCATCAGCTTTATTCCACTTAACCCAGGATATATTTATCAGTTATATTAAGCGATGATTAATTAGAAATTAACTAGAAATTGGTATTTAAATTGTGAAGGAGTGCAGATTCTTATTTTCGTTTAAACTTGTTTTTCTGAAAAATATGTTTGAAATCCGCTCTTTTGCCTTTTTATCCTTTCAATTCCTTTTCGTTCTATATTAATTATTTTGACTTTCGATACTCAATCCTCTTCAACTATCTACGTCGAGTACATATATTCATTTTTGGTTTTCCATTTAGGTATTTTTTACTTTTTTCTCTTTATTCAATTCCTTATGTTCTCAACCTGTTCTCATATTTTCTTCTTTACTTTTTCTTCATTTTTTTATTATTTTCTCTCCAACCTTTCTCTTAAATATTTTTTATCTAATTTGCTATCATTGTTTTTTTTCTAATTTTTTCTTCCTGATTTCCTTCCATTCAAATTCCCCTTTTCATATTTCATACTCTCAAACTTTATCATCTCTTTTCTTTTTATTTATTTTATTTATTTTCTTCTTTTTTTCTTCTCAATTTCTTTATACCTATCTATCATTATCACTCTCCTCTAAACGCAACTATATCTTCGCATTGAAATCTAAGTTGAGGGTGTTATTTGTAATAAAGGGGCCGCGTCATTTCCGTTTAAAAATAGCAAATTTACGATTTACCTTTGACACTTCAATCTGATCAAACATGCGGAAGAGATTTTTGTTTTTCTGACTCGAAAAGTGTTTAGTTCTGATATTTCCTCCATTGCTTCTTATAAACATAAATTGAAAGATATGCGCAAGTGACTTTCGCAAGAAAACGCAAATTAAAATAAAAAGTATAAAGAAACAAAAAAAAAACATGGATATCTAATTCATACTACACGCACCCCTGACCCTTCAGTAAAAGTAAATTCAATCTAAAGTCTGACCGTGTCAACCGTGTTGCACCGGTTAGTCCTAAAGTGTCTAATTCATTTACCCAATGTCCGGGCGATACAGTACAAACTGGGACCGGAAAGGTTGACCCGGCTCGGAAATTCAAATGTTCTACGGCTGCCCGTGACTACATGATCAGGCAAAACTTGTATATGGTACCGTTGTAAATCGGACATTGCCTTCTTTATGAGCAGGGACACTTTTAATCATGCTCACACAGTCCCTTTAAATAGTATGATTGATTATGACGCCCTACTTTATACATTGATACCTATAAAACTGTACAGTAGAAAGACGACATTCAATATCATCTATATAATAAAATAAGGCATTTGTATATATGTTCCCTCTGGCCGGCCAAACGGCTGCACCGAATGGGCTCAATTTTTTTGTGGACACTCATCGGTAGCCTGATGGTGACATCGACAATATAAAAATCAAATTTTTTTAAATTTTTAAATTTTATTTTTTAATTTTTTTTCTTTAGCTAATTATTACATAATTTGATATAGTTTAGTTTTTATCAGTTGCTTTAAACCCAACTTTTCTATGGTACGGGTCCGTTTAAACTTTTGTTGTATTGCATGTTTTTTATTTACCAGAGAAAGGTTTTTAATTGGTACCGTTGTGAATATGACAAATCTCTATTTAAAGGCAGGTTCACGTTCAAATTTCTGCTCCTGTTCAATTATTCTTTAATATCCATGCTTTCTCTTTATGCTTTCTACCCCACAAACTTTTACAATTTTTGTTTTATATTACTTTAATTTCATCTTTCCTTGTTTGTTGCTACTTTTTCTTAATTAATTTAAAGATTTATATTTTTAACTCGTTAGTGATTACCTCTTCTATACAATCTGCGCAAAACTTGTTTATTTCTAATAATCTTTATAAATTTAATTCAAATAATAAATATTTTAGTTTTTAAATTAGAGTTTGTTTAAAGTCTAATTGTCCATATTTAGAGCCAATGTCCAAAAATGTCACCAACTACAATTAAAATGTAGATTCAAGTTTAAACAGTTTTGCTTTTTTAACAGACCCAGAAAACAAACCATTATATGCAAAGAATCCCTTTTACTTCCCGTTGTTTATATTTCTTATCAATTTCTGCCATGAAGGACAAGTGCTTTGCGTTCTAGTTCTTGTTCTAGGTCTAGTTCTAGTTATTGTTCTAGTTCTTGTTCTAGTTTTTCAATCAAAAGAATTAAAAAAAATACTGAACTTAATCAAATTGAAAAACTTAGGTTTGATTTGAATCTTAAACTTATATGAGCTTCCGGTGTTTTGGTAACTTCCGGTTTATTGGTTACTTCCGGTTTATTGGTAACTAATCAAAAATCTTAGCAAACAAAATTAACAATTTTTCTGGAAGTTAATTTTGTGAAAAATTGTTCAAATCAAAGAAAAAGTTAGTTTTTATTTTGGAAATTAGAAAACGTTCGTTTTAAAAAATATTTGTCTTAAATGATATATACCAATTCCCATCATGTATTTTGTAAAGGAATTGAGTTTTTTCCACAAACTCAAATTTTCTAATCCCAAAATATTAGCAACCTGATAGTGTAAACCTTTGAGATTTCAAACGTATATTATTTTATTTAACTGAATTCATAGTTTGAAATATCTAAAATTTACGACATCGCGTTTCTAAGATAAAATAATTAAATCATTAGAGTTTGTGGCTAAAATTCAATTCCTTTTTTTAATTTATAAGGATATAAAAATCTCACATACACATCATATATCATAAAACTTTTAAACTTCAATCAAAGCAGGCCTTGAATCATATTGGAATATATCTCAAAGATAGTTTTTGAAATAGTTTAAAAATTACAATTTCTATTTTAGATCTATTTTACGTAGACCCCTGCGGTCTGCAAAGTGCACATATGCCGCGTCTAATTGTATTGGTTCTGATGATTTGATTAGAACAGAATATTATCAACTGAATATATTCCTCTATAGCCGCAAGGACACCTAGGTCCAACCTGTTTATTCACTTTTATAAAGAGAATTCTGTTTTAACCTAATTTGTTCTCAATCATAGAAATATGCAAAAGCAATATTCTGGTCACAGGGTGTCTCTGATTAAAGTATGTTAAAGTTTATTTTTCAAATCATTGGAAGAGAGACCAATCACATTTTCGAATATTAGGCCTACTTTTGAAGGTTAAAGCGGCATTCATTTAGAAACATTTCACCTCCTACACCTTTTTATAACTTTTTAGTACGGTTTAGTACGGTTTAATACGGTTTAGTACAGTTTAGTACGGTTTAGTACGATTTAGTACGGTTTAATACGGTTTAGTACGGTTTAGTACGATTTAGTACGGTTTAATACGGTTTAGTACGGTTTAGTACGGTTTAATACAGTTTAATACGGTTTAGTACGGTTTAGTACGGTTTAGTACGGTTTAGTACGGTTTAGTACGGATTAATGCGGTTTATTACGGTTTTGTACGGTTTAGTACGGTTTAGTACGGTTTAATATGGTTTAGTACGGTTTAGTACGGTTTAGTACTGTTTAGTACGGTTTAGTACGGTTTAGTTCGGTTTAGTACGGTTTAGTACGGTTTAGTAAGGTTTAGTACGGTTTAGTACGGTTTAGTACGGTTTAGTACGGTTTTGTACGTTTAGTACGGTTTAGTACGGTTTAATAGGGTTTAGTACGGTTTAGTACGGTTTAGTACGGTTTAGTACGGTTTAGTACGGTTTAGTACGGTTTAATATGGTTTAGTACGGTTTAATACGGTTTAATACGGTTTAATACGGTTTAGTACGGTTTAGTACGGTTTAGTACGGTGCAGTACGGTTTAGTACGGTTTAATACGGTGCAGTACGGTTTAGTACGGTTTAATACGGTTTAGTACGGTTTAGTACGGTTTAGTACGGTTTAGTACGGTTTAGTACGGCTTAGTACGTTTAATAGACGAAAAAAACTCTACCACACTTTTTTGTAAATCTATATAATATAGTTATATAGTTATATATAAATATATATCAGTAAAAACGCGACAATCTTCTTATAACATTTTATTCAAAAACAAAGAAAAGATGGCTTAAATGTTATCTATATATACTGGAAATTCAAGGCGCTTCGCGCCCATCTTCTATTTAAATTGTGAACATGTTCTTTTTGTTTAGATTTTAAAGCAAAGAAGAAAAAAATTTTGCGGATTTTTAAAGAAAAAATTCGCAGATTTTCAAGAATTTAAATTTTTTTACAAATTTAAAAACCTTTAAAACACATTTTTTTTAAATTTTTATCATTCATAAATCTTCCCTGTGGTCACGTGATGTCCGATCGGGTCCGATCGGTTCAGCCTCCTTGACGTTTATTGGATACAAACAAAAACAGACACCCAAACACCATGACAAACTCCCAAACAAGCCAAATTTATATATAGATTAAATGGCTGAAATTCTTTAGGAAATGCAATTTTTTTTCAATTAAATTTTTTTTGTTTCAAAATAAAATTCTTTATTTCCACGGGCAAATTCTTGCATACTTTAATTTTAACCACCAAGCATCTCAAATAGTTCTTTATATTCCACTAGTACTCTGACGTCCCTTAATCCTCTGAATTCCTTCAGTCCTGTAGGAGTCCGATAGTCCTCTTTATTCCACCCGTAGTGTGTAGTCATCCAGTCCTCAAAACTCTCCCAGTCCTCTGTAGTCCTCTAGACCTCTGTAGTCATTCAGTTCTCAAAACTCCTCCAGTCCTCTTTGTCCCCTAGACCTCTGAATTCCTCAAGACCTTTTTTGACCTATGTAGTCATCTAGTTCTCTGTAGTCAATTAGACCTCCTTTGTCATTCAGTCCTAAAAACTCCTCCAGTCCTCTGTAGTCCTGTATACTTCTATATTCATCTAGACATCTGTTGTCCTCTAGCTCTCTGCAGTCCTATAGTCCTCTGTATTCCTGATGACCTCTGTGGTCCTCTAGACCTCTGTAGTCATCTAGAACTCTGTATTCCTCTAGTCCGCTATAGTCCTCTAAACCTCTCTAGTCTGTAGTTCTCTATACCTCTGTATTCTTCTATACCTCTGTAGTTCTCTGTTGTCCTCTAGACCTCTGTATTCTTCTAGACCTCTGTAGTTCTCTGTAGTCATCTAGACCTCTGTAGTCCTCTGGACCTCTGTAGTCCTGTATGAATCTGTAGTCCTCAGTATTCCTCTAAACCTCTATAGTCCTCTAGTCCTCTCTATTCCTTTAGACCTCTGTAGTTCTACTAGACCTCTGTAGTACTCTAGACCTCTTTCTTCATCTAGACCTTTGTAGTCCTCTAGTTCTCGGTATTCATCTAGTCCTCTGTAGTCAATTAGTTCTCTGTAGTCCTCTATACCCCTGTAGACCCCTTGTCCTCAACAGTCCTCTAATCCTCTGTATATATATTTAGTTCTCTGTAGTAATCTTGTTCTATGTAGTCCTCTAGTACTCTGTAGTCCTCTAGACCTCATTAGTCCTCTAGTTCTCTGTGGTCCTGTAGACATTTAGTCCTCTAGACCTCCAAATTCCGTTATTCTTCTGTATTCCTCTAGTCCTCTAGTTCTTTGTAGTCCTCTAGACCTCTGTAGTCCTCTAGACCTCTGTAGTCTTCTAGACCTCTGTAGTCCTCTAGACCTCTGTAGTCCTCTAGACCTCTGTAGACCACTATTCCTTTGTAGTTCTCTAGACCTATGTAGTCCTTTAGATCTCTGTAGTCCTCTAGACCTCTGTAGTCATTTAGTCATATTATGTTCGCTAAACCTGTGTAGACCACTAGAACTCTGTAGTCCTCTAGACAGCTGTAGTCCTCTACACCTTTGTACACCACTAGTAATCTTTATTCCTCTGTAGTCCACTAGACCTCTTTAGTCCTCTAGACCTCTTTAGTCCTCTTTACCTCTGTAGTTTTTAGTCATATTTTGTTCTCTAGACCTCTGCAAACACTAGTTCTGTTTAGTCCTCTAGACCGCTGTAGTCCTCTACAACACTGTACACCACTAGTCCTTTGTAGTCCTCTATTCCTCTGTGGTCCTGTAGACCTCTGTATTCCTATATACCTCTGTACTATGTAGTCCTCTAGAACTCTGTAAACCACTAGTCCTTTGTAGTCCACTAGACCTCTGTAGTCCTCTATACCTCTTTAGTCATCTAGACCTCTGTAGTCCTTTAGTCATATTTTGTTCTCTAGACCTCTGTCGACCAGTAGTCCTCTTTAGCCCTATATTCTTATGTTATGCTCTGTAGTCCTCTAGACTACGTCCTACAGAATAGGTTTATATATATATGCTTTAAATCTAGTATTTCCATGACCTTATTCTAAATATAAGATTTCTCAATTTATAAATTGACAAACAATAATATAAAAGGCAGAATTTAAAAATTTAGGCTGACCCCTCCCCCCCGTAGCAACGCCCTGGCTTTTTACACATACTTCGGTTGTTTTTGTCTTTCTATCTTCATCTAATCTTGGTTGATTGGGGCCTGAAAAGGTGAATTTTAGGCCTACTGCCTGGTTTTGGCAGACTAACTGCAGGGTATACAGGCGGATGTGTGGGAGGGACAAATTATACATAGACGCAGTTTAACACTTTTAGTTTCTCCTGGACTTGGGCAGAGTGCTTTATTTATCTCAATAAGTTTAAAATTAAAGGAGGTAGGAGGTAGGAGGTAGGAGGTAGGAGGTAGGAGGTAGGAGGTAGGAGGTAGGAGGTAGGAGGTAGGAGGTAGGAGGTAGGAGGAAGGAGGTAGGAGGTAGGAAATTAAGATGATCAATCGTCTACTGCGTGCACTTGAATGGATCATAAATCCATGAATATTATTAGATCATGACCCAACTCAGGCATAGATATATTATTCGCATTCCGAGTATACCCCAGGGGGGAAGGGATGCAGGAGGGGGGGTCAAAAGAACTAAAGGGCAGTCAGGATTTTGTTACGTAGGCCTGATACCAAATATTTAGATTTACATGTATTTTCTGAGAATAAAAAGGGCCTAAGCATGCTGATCTTAAACTGTAAAATATACCGAAGAGTCAAGCATAGTGCATACGTAAAATACATATATTACTGCTTACTTCATAAGCTTTAAAAACAATTTTGCAAGAAGACTTAAATGAAGTTTAGAAGTAAAAAACTGCTCTTTAGAACTTTTTTGACCATTACATATTTAGATCTCTATTTTCTAATATTTTTGGTGTAAATATTCTTTTTATATGTTGTAAAATCAACGTTTGCACATACGTCTATGTTTAAAACTAATCTTAAACTTTGACCCCATAACCCTCCCCCCTATAGCAGGTAGGAGAAAAGTAAAAATATGGTAAAACCGTAATAAATTTGTTTTTCAGAAAAATGACACGAAACAAGGATTCGCTTTCTATACAAAGGTTGGAATATCCGAAATAATAATATATTTGTCTCTCAAGGGAAAAATGGCAACGTCTTAAAATTAGCTCGCTTATTAAATAAAACGAAGAAATAGTTTTATTATCTCTAGTACTCTGAAAAGCTGAATATTTTGATATGTTAAGGGAAAAAAAGGATTAATGATATTTTGAAGGATTTAAATGCCAACTTCTAAAAAAACAAACTAGCAACAATATCGAGGTAAATATAACATTATGAAAAGCTTTATTAAACATTATTCCCTGCACTGCTAAATTGTGCCCAGTTTTCTCGATCTCTTTTAATATAATGACACTGCTTTATCCTTACTTTTTAGACGTTACTATAAATTTAACCCTAAACAGACGGGGAAGGGGCGTTTGGCGCCCCCCCTGGAGTTTTTTTTTGTCCTAGCACTCTCATTTTTGACACTATCACCGTGAAATTTTGTTACTTTTAATTAATAGTAACTTAAAGGATTTTTTGTTAAATTCTTTTTTTTTATTTGTAGGGTAGGGTACAGGGCGGAAAAAAAGTCCGGTCTGTGAAAAAAATCTAAAATAGCCTATAACTTTTTTGGGGCGCTAAAGATCTAAAAACTATATTTTTTGAAAATCCCTTGAATAAAGCATGCAGAAACATGTGTCACACTTTGAGATTTGTTTAAAACAAAAAAAGAAATTTCATTTTTTTGACCTTTTTTAAGGCATTTTTTCAACCCTTCCTAGCGCCCAAACTATTAAAGTTTTTTTCTATGAGCTGGCCTTGAAATATTGGGCCATGCACATGCATTTCAACACTATATCTATTCTCTATGGCATTTTTCTAGGGGGGGGGGCGCCAAACGCCCCCCAGCTAGGCTATACATAGATTCAGACCCCCCAGCCTTTATAGGGTTAAATCTGGGACTAAATTTAACGAATTTTAACTGGATTCCGCCGGTCAAATTTGAATCACCGGTTTAAACCTTTTCTGAATCTTTAACTTTTATTTGAACCAGCAGTAGGCACTTCACCGACACAGCTAAGATTTATTATAAATTCGTTTTCACAAGATGTATTAACCAGAACAAATAAACTACACTTTTACAATTACGTAAAATAGCAATACCTAGAAAAGATTTAAAATATGAATTTTTCAAAAATCCAATATTTCAATAACTCTATGAACAACAAAATCTGTAGTCTGTTTTCCATGTTAAGACTTGTACCGGGAGAAGTTATAGGCGAGTATACAAGATACCAGGAGAAATCCCACAAACATCTTTATCCACTAAAGGAATTCACATTTCGAAAAATATAAAATTAGACTTAATAACATAGATAAGATGGTTAATAACATAAATAAGATGGTTAATAACATAGATAAGATGGTAATGACATGGAGAAGATGATTAATAACATAGATACGATGGTTAATGACATGGATAAGATGGTTAATAACATAGATAAGATGGTTAATAACATAAATAAGATGGCTAATAAATAGATAAGATGGTAAATAACATAGATAAGATGGTTAATAACATAGATAAGATGGTTAATAACATAGATAAGATGGTTAATAACATAGATAAGATGGTTAAGAACAGAGATAGTTGGTTTATTATATATATAAGATGGTTAATGACATATATAAGATGGTTAATAGCATAGATAAGATGGTTAAGAACAGAAATAAGTTGGTGAATAAAATAGATAAGATGGTTAATGACATAGATAAGATGGTTAATAACATAGATAAGATGGTTAAGAACATGGATAAGATGGTTAAGAACATGGATAAGAGGGTTAATGACATGGATAAGATGGTTAATAACATAGATAAGATGGTTAATGACATGGATAAGATGGTTAATGACATGGATAAGATGGTTAATAAAATAGATAAGATGGTTAATAACATAGATAAGATATTTAAGAACATAGATAAGATGGTTAATAACATAAATAAGATAGTTAAGAACATATATATGATATTTAAGAACATAAATAAGACAGCTAAGAATATAAATAAGATGGTTAAGAACTGATATTAAATAATTATTCTTTTTAATTCTTGGTTCGACCAAAAAATTTATTCAATTTAAACACAAAAAATGTGTTCATCATAATTTTTTTAAATTTTGTATTTGTGAATTATTTTTGTAGGAGGAAGGTGAATATGGTCCAACCCCTGTTTATAAATCCCCGGGCAAGTAAGTATATAAGGAGGTTTAATAAATCTAGTCTCTGACAGTATTAGGATAAACTCAGTAAATATTTTAATGACAATAATAAGTAAATTAATAAGATGAAGATTATCAATAGTAACAGGGATGCGTATCGTATGTAAGGAAGTTTCGACGCTTATCTAGTCTCTGACAGTATTAAGATAAACTTATTACAAATTTTAATGACAATAATAAGTAAATTAATAAGGTGAAGATTATCTATAGTAACAGGGATGCTTATCTTATATAAGGAAGTTTCGAAACTTTTTAATAAATCTAGTCTCTGACAGTATTAAGGTAAACTCAGTAAAAATTTAATGACAATAATAAGTAAATTAATAAGGTGAAGATTATCTATTGTAAAACAAAGCATTCATTTCTGGAGACCTAATTTTTAGAGTGGCCATTGCTGTCAGTTGTCACACATCATTTCATTAGGGTTATTTTCATATGTATATAGGTTATCAAAGTACAAAAATGCAAAATAATTTTTTTTCCAACGAGCAGAATTAAATATCTCTATTTTTACTATTTTTTGAGAAAAAGACAAAATATTTTCTTGTGAAAAAGATATTATTATAAAAATAAATATTTCAACAAAAAGCTCAGGATATTAGCTTTTCAAAAAGTGACTTATTTTGTTCACGGTATTAAAACTGACCGAGATCTGACAGAAACACAAAAAAATCCCAAAAATTGATAAAGATGATAAAAACGCATTTTTCTGTAATAATTCGAAAAAAAATATTTTGAATTTTTGTACTTTAATAACTATTATACATAAGAAAAAAAGCTTAATGAAATGATTTGTGACATTAAGGGCCACCCTGATAATTTCATTAACATGAAAAAAATATAAAATAGCAAAAATAAACATTGATAATGAAATTTAAACTAGGATAAGAAATCTCTGATAATGCCTGCATGTTGAACAAAGCAAAGATACTCATCATTAAATTAAGAAGAATTGTCCCTTTAATTTCAGTTAGTAACAAAGCAGGGTTGAACAAAGCACACAATGAGATTTAAACAAAACAATCATTAGAACAAACTTGACTTTTTCATTAACAAAACTACCAAACTTTACATTTTCAAGAACATAATATTAAACTTTACATATTCAAGAACATAATATTAAACTTTACATATTCAAGAACATATTATTAAACTTTACATATTCAAGAACATGATATTAAACTTTACATTTTCAAGAACATAATATTAAACTTTACATATTCATCAAAATTAAATTGAATTACATATTCAGAAACCAGAAAACAAACTTTGCATATTAAGAACAAGAAACAAACTGTACATATTCAAGAATAAAAAACAAACTTTATATATTACGAACAAGAAACAAACTTACATATTCAAAATAAAAACTTTACACATTCAAGAACTTTACATTTTGGAAAACTAAAAAAACATTTTTCAGATGGAAACCTCCTCCACAGTATGAAAAGAGAGAAAAGAAACCGAAGGTGATCACAAACAGACATCGAAGTGTATTTTATTTTTAAATCGGATTCCGGCTAGAGCATTATATAGACATATAGAAAATATATATTCTCTGTTCTGTGAGTATATATGTATATAGTAAAGCTGTTCAATCATATCAGTAAATATTATGCGTTAGCTTATGAGGGAATCCATGGGTTAACATAGCTAAGCAAAAAAATTAGTTTTTTCTTACTTTTAAAATTCAACTATTTTCCCAAGTGTTTTTGAAATTCCGCGGGCAACGTCAAGCACTTAAGCTAGTTCTATTAATTATGTTACGAAAAAAGCTAAATATTTATACTTTTGTTTTTTATAAACAATCTCATTTTGTAGAAAAAAAAACATTTTCGGGAGAAATAACTGAATGATATAAATTATTACACAACAATATATTGATTTGTAAGTACACAAATTGCGCATTTTTTAGATGTATGCAAGTTACGCAGTTGATCATGAGTGTGCATTCCATGGTCACAAGGTAAACATTAATTATTATTCAATGCTCATGAAATTTAATACAACCTTCAAGAAAAGGGGTTAACACTGATTATTTTTTAATTGCTTTTTTATGTTTAATAACTTTGTTGTATGTATATTNCCATAACTTGATTATCTTCACCCCCCGCTTTATCCAATATTATAAACGCCCTTGACGTATTCATTATGTACTAAGCTTCTAGGGCACCCTTTTTATAAAAATAATTTAGCATCTAACTATTTTTATAAAAGTGGTCAAGTTAAATCAATTTAAATCATTTTATATCATTTTAAATAATTTTAAATCATTTAAAATCATTTTAAATTATTTTAAATCATTTTTATTTATTTTAAAATTTGGCAGATTTTTCTTTTTGAATTATGCAACATTAAAAAAAATTCCAATTGTTTTCTATGAGATTTTTTCCCAATGGTTCAAAAACCTTCCTTGGGTTCATGTGAGATCCCACACTAAATTTAAACCCTCCTATACTATCCCTAGATTGGTAAGTATGAGAGGACTGGTGGCGAGGAGGGTGTGGCGCCACGCCTTCCCTCCAGAGAACCCAGCATTCCACGGTATACAAGAGCTCTATCTGCACCAATAGGTAAAGTTAATACAAAAAAAAGAAAAATTACAGTGAGAACCAGACAACGAAAGACGACATTCAGACTCAAGTTATGACTTTAGATAGTCCAATAAACATGAGAAACCAAAACTGTGCAGTGTAAACAGATTTCACTTATTTTACAAGTTACTATTTGCTTTGTAACAAGATCAATTACACTATTGCTTCAATGTCGTCTTCCAATTCCACAATTTTCTGGATCTCGATGTACTTAAACAGCTTTTTATAAAGATGTATATTTTAAGCACGCATTAATATAATTGAAAAATAAGTTTTGTCTATTCTTTATAACTTTTTTGTATGTATTCAAAACGAAATTCCCATCTATTAAAAGAATTTTCTTTAGTATGTCTGTAAATTGTTTTGTACTTATGTAAAGGCATAAATCAAATTTTCCTTAAACTCAAAATTTTAAATCTGTATATATCTGGAACATAGAATATTTTATCTATCAGAACTAATGTTTTGAAATTTTAAAGGTTATACGACAATTGGGTGGCAAAGATGTAGAGATTCGCCATGACATCCGGCTATTGTATTTTTTTGAATGAAGGGTTGCTTGAATTCATGTAAATATTTCTTTAAAATTCTCATTATAGAAAAGGCTCCGCTGAGAACTGTTACTGTTCGGCAAACCAGCCTTCCTCCAATATATAATAACCAGGTTAGTGTTCAGCAAACCAGTCTTCCTCCGATATACGTTAACCAGGTTAGTGTTCACCAAACCAGCCTTCCTCTGATATACGTTAGCCAGGTTAGTGTTCAGCAAACCAGTCTTCCTCCGATATACATTAACCAGGTTAGTGTTCACCAAACCAGCCTTCCTCCGATATATGTTAACCAGGTTAGTGTTCACCAAACCAGTTTTCCTCCGATTTATGTTAACCAGGTTAGTGTTCAGCAAACCTGTCTTCCTCCGATATACTTTAACCAGGTTTATGTTCAGCAAATCAACCTTCCTCCGATATATGTTAACCATGTTAGTGTTCAGCAAACCAGCCTTCCTCCAATATATGTTAACCAGGTTAGTGTTCAGCAAACCAGCCTTCCTCTGATATATGTTAACCAGGTTAGTGTTCAGCAAACCAGCCTTCCTCCGATATATGTTAACCAGGTTAGTGTTCAGCAAACCAGCCTTCCTCTGATAAATTTTACCCAGGTTAGTGTTCGGCCGACCAGTCTTCCTCCGAAAAATTTTAACCAGGTTGTATAAAAGAATGGTTAGGTTCCTCTTGATTCGATCCAATGTTCGGAAAATGTCTTCTACTATGATAGATAGATAAAAACCTCATATGACGTCACTGATTGTAGAGGCGAGAGTAGGGTTTCCACCAAATGGCTAAATCTTTTTTAAAGAGTGTGAAACTTGGCATTATTTTTATCCTATTAAATAATTTCAAGTGACCCTCAAAAGCTTTGCCTAATCAAGTATGAATTATATTCTTAAATTTTTTAAATCAAATTTCTAAAATCTTTTTAATCTCTTATAAATAATGCAAGAAAGTAACCAATGCCTGAAGAATTCACACTTTTAAGGAAATATGCATGTCAAAAACTAAAATTGTCGAGACTTTTACTTGACAATCTGTTTCGGATTTTGGTACAAAACCTTCCAGCACTGGAAAAATTGAATTCTAAGAAACACACACCGTCACCAACCGTTTGATTTTTACGAAATTGCGGAATTGCGCTAAACTCTAGTTGCAGAATTGCGCAAAACTTGAGTTTCGCAAAAACGGAAAAGGGCAATCTTGAGCGTATGATTGCGCAAATTGTTGTTTTTATCGTGCAAAACTGATGCGCAAAGAAAGAAAAATTTTGCGTTTCGTTTCGCAAAAATTGCGCAACAGTTTTGCGAATGGAAACCCTAGGCGAGAGTGACGTCAAATTAGGTTTTTTTTCTAAAGTTAAGTTCAAAAAGCTCCAAAAACAAATATTTTTGACGATTTATATAATAATTAATTTAAAACTTCAATTGATCTGAGTTCCCTGATTGAAAACATGGAAGTTAATATGTGCATCATGATAATTTCCTGATTTTTTTTTTAACTTTCTTGACACCAGTTTTTAATACTTTAGAGGTGATACTATTATAGAATTTCAAAGCTGTCGACTTAAAATTTCAGTAATTACTCACAATATTTATGGTGCAATTGAACGCGCGCGCCATTTTTTAAAATTAGTAATCATTTTTGGACATTTTACTATGGTTACTATACATATGTCTATGTATGAAGTTTTTGTTATTGGTAAGATAATGGCCTTTTTTCTATGCTTAAACGTATTTAATTCAGTTAATTCCTATGTGTTTTCCTGCTGTGGAAATGCGCCAGTCACGTTTGGAGAGAATAATCTAATTGGTACATGACCAGATGAAGCTTTTAAGGGTTTGGTTGTATTTCGGCATTGACATAGATTTCTAGAAGTATCAGTAAAGACATTGAGGTAAAGTATAATATAATCAGAAGTTGATTCGATCAGAAATCTGGATTCAGACATGTGTTGAACTGTTTTCTAACTATGCTTATTAAAATACAGCAAAAAACGTAAATGTCAACTACATAACTAAAATGAGACATAGCAAAAATAGCATACAGCAAAAAAAGCAAATAGCAAGAATAGCCTATGGAAAAAAATGACGTTTACCAAAATTACGTATAGCAAAAATAATGTAAAGCAAAAATGTCGGTTAAAAAACGTATAGCAAAATTGTCATTTAGTAAAATGACATACAGCAAAATTTACATTTTGTAAAAAAGACGTATAGCAAAAATGACATATATATAGAATGCATTATTGGACCGGTCTACTGATATGGTAGAGGAGTTCTCTACTGACATTCATGTAGAATTAATTATAGAATGCACTGTTGGACCGGTCTACTGATATGGTAGAGGAGGTGCCTACTGAGAATTATGTAGAAGAAGAAATAAGGTTATCAGTGTTTTTTCATATGAAAATATTACCGAAATTAGCCGTTTTATCTATATAGATTGTCTGGGTGTCTGTTTTTTTTGTGTGTTTATAACCGATAGACGTCAAAACGGCTAAACTGATCGGACTCAAATTTTGTGTGGGACCTCACTTGACCCCAGGGAGGTTAATGGACCATCAAAATTTGAAATAATTCCTGAAAAATAGTTGGAATTCGAAAAGAAAACTCCGCCCAAAGGAATGGAGTCTTTGTCACAAACTATGTTTTTCTATTCTCTATATTTTTGTAATTCAATGCCGTAGACCTGAGATATTTCAAACTATAAATTCTGTTAGATGAAAAAATCTAAGTTCATATCAAAGGTTTACACCATCATCAGGTGGAAAAAATATAGGTATTAGAAAATCAGAGTTTTTTACAAAGACTCAAGTCCTTTAAAATAATTTAAAAGTTAAAAACTAAAATTATTTACTTTTAAGTTTTTTTTTGGAAAAACAAGCATTTAAGCACCTAAATATCTTATACAAAATAAAACGAAAATATTTTATTTGTGAAATGCAAGAAGGACTTAACTTGGAATTTTTACATTGCTTCACTTACATTTTCGAAATTTAACAGTGCTACATGAAATCTTTCAGACACAGTAATTTACAATTTGGAATTATAATAGTGTGTGTACGTATGTGATAGATATATTTATATTTGATAGATATGTATTTATTTGACTAAATGTGAAGTGTATATTTTGAAATTCAAACAGTGTATGATATACCTATTTTAATACATATATAATATATTTAGGAAACCTGGCAAACAGTATTCATTCGGAGCAGACGCGGCAGGACGATTTCTAAGTAGAGAGGACTGCCAAACTTCTCTAGTGGTTTGAATTATGGTTGTATAATAAGGTTAGATAATCTTAATGCGCTCCAATTTACGAAAATGTCGTCTTTAAAGCAATTCAAAATCCTCATTTGACGTAACTGATTATTCTGATTAAATATTGTGGTAGACTAAACATTATGATAATTACTGCATTATTTAGCTTTAAACTAGTCAGCACAATCAATATTTGTTAAATGTGATGATTGTTAATCAAGTATTAGACAGGATTGAGAGAGTGTCCATTGCTGTGGAGACGGCGACATTTCCGTACATTGGAGCGCATTCAGAATATCTTCTCAGAATATACAACCTTGGTTTAAAACTTGAAATACACTTCCTTCTCTCACTTGGTGTTGCTTTGTTTGAGACAATTAATAACCCTGTAATTCTCCCTTTCAATCGACAGTTTCTCTTTGTTTATATGGTTTATATCTCTGCTGTTTGAACCCCTGGTAGAAATCAAAGCTTATAGGGAGTGACCGGTTATGTAAGGTAGTTGAACTGAGGACGCAGTGTTGTGGAAAACTTCTTTAGGATTCATTTGAGACATATTTCACTTTTTAAAAGTCTGTAAATCCTGAGTTTGAGTACAACACTGCTTACTCAGTTCAATTACCTTACATAGCCGGTCATTCCCTTTAAGTAAAAAGTCATCTTTAGTGTATATATAAAGGGTGTCCGATTATTCTGACAATTTTTAAACAGCTATTTCTCCGTCATTTTTTGGAATTTTTGCAATCAGTAAAAATATTTGAGCAACTGTAAGTCTGTAATATGCACGTTTTGCAATATAACAAAATATTCGCAGCATTTATTGCAGAAAAAAAACATATTTAGTTTTCCTATGCACCAGTTTTGCCTTCCTTTAAGTGTAGGAGGGGGTTAGATAAAACTAATTTGTACGAAGATAGCCAAGGTCAAGAGCTGCCTCACAGTTTTTAAAATTTGTCGATACCACCTTTCCTTAAAGAGCTATTATTCTTCAAAGTCCACCCGGCCAAAATACTGCAAAGAGTTTTAGTCAATTTTCGCACTAGATCTGAATTATGCATTTATGAAAATGGCGGTCATTTTTAACACTTGTTATAGAAAAGAAGTAAATCCAGTTATAAAACAAAACTTTCATATTTTGATTAGTCTAATTATTTTACAGATTGGAAAAATTCCAAACAATAACAAAGTTACAGCAATTTGAAAATTGGCAAGATTAAAATGACACCCTGTGTATATGAAGACCCTTGTACTAACGAACTAACGGATCTAACGATTATATAAATGCAATTAAATTCGATTATTCAATGTAAATATATTCATTGTAGTAACCAGAAGGAAAATTTGTTGCCTTTATTTATATTATGAAATATTTCATAATCTGCATCTTATTATTTCTAAAAGTTTGCTTTATACACTTTCAAAATTGCAAATTTAACCTAAAAACATAACCAACACATATTTCACTGTTATCTGGTTTATCTTGTATTTACATTTTTATAATATGATAAATTAACCTATTTCTGTTTCATACACAGTATGTTTTACTAAACAATACAGTTTAAAGAAGAACTTCCATTTATATCGAGTAAGCATAAAGTTAATATGAGTATCAAAAAAGATGCACCTTGAAGTGCTGAATTGCGTCCATATTTAGATATTTCGAAATTTTAATCTTTTTTTTATACTCAAACGAATTTTTTTTCCAATTAGTAAATTAATTTTTAACCCTAAACAGGCCGGGGGGGGGGTTAGTTTAGCTCCCCTTCCCTGTAGTTTTTTGTCCTAGCACTCTTATTTTTTACACTATCACCGTGAAATTTTCCGACTTTTAATAAATAGTAATTTGAAGGATTTTTTGACACAATTTTTTTTAAATTTAAAGGGCCCATGGGAAACATAGCCCATATTTTTTTTGTGGCTAAATCTACAGATCTATAAACTAAATTTTTGAAAAGCCCTTGAAAAATGCATGTAGAAAAATGTGTCACACTTTGAGATTTGTTTAAAACCAAAAAAATTTTTTTTCATTTTTTTCCCCTTTTTAAAGGCATTTTTTTCAACCCTCCCTAGCACTTAAACTATTAAAGTTATCGGTCTAATTTTTTTCCATGAGCTGGCCATGAAAAATTAGACTATGAACATGCATTTCAACCCTATACCCATTATCTTTTTTCTAGGGTGGGGCGCCAAACGCCCCCCCCCCCCCTCCAGGCTATACATAGATTCAGATCCTCCAGCCTTTTTAAAGTTATTGTTTTAACTTTTTCAAGAGGGATATTTTTAATTTTGATTTATTTTGACGATTTGTTTTCTGGATAGATAAAAAAAAAATCTCAAATATTTTTTAACTGTATGAAAGAAAGTTAGAACTTGCAGATTTCAGCATTTTTATCGAAAAATTGGCAAAAAGTTTATTTTCACTTATTTTGACTTTTACAAATAAAATTATAGATTTCTAAGTTAATCTTTGTATTTTCTCTAACTTTTCTGTTATTTCATATTTCTTGAATATAAAAACATACTTATGATTATGTAATATATTTCAATAGGTTATACAAATGCATAGGAAAAAAAATACAAAATATATGCTTCCAATGATAAATGCCATAAACTGTGCGTTCAAATGTAAATGTAGAGGTGAAAAGTATCAAGAGTTGTAATTATGAAATATAAGTAATTTTACAATTATTTGATTTTCCATTTTTATTTATGGTTTCCATTAATAGTGGTCTTATCCAGGTTCAAGGATATCTTTTTAACAAGAGCAGATACAAACTTCTTGAGATCGTCTTTGCACTGGTTTGCAACCTCCAAAACTTCCTAGTAATCGAGTTCTTAAATGGACAGTTGACGGAATTTAAAGTGACGATATATTTACATGCTCAAATTGCAATGGCTGCACCCTTTTAAACAAAAATATGAAGAAATCCTTGTTTTTCTTTCTAAAATTGTGATTTTATAAAAGTAAATTGCGGATTTAAATAACGCGAAGATAACGTTTAGATCATGCGTTAATAGATTTTAAACATTTTTTATATCAAAATAATACAATATGGTAATATATGTATAAAGCGTTTTTTTTCTTTTCTTATCGTATATTCAAATATTACTGATGAACCCCTTGACCGATTTGCCTCGTTCTTTTTTTTGGGAGGGGGGGGGGGAAGTTTTAAGCTGAGTAGGTTCACTTTCACAGAGAAAATGTATAGTTCCAGGCAAGGTTAGGTTCCCAAGCTATTATATAATATTATAAAAAACAATTGTGAAAAGAAATGAAGAAAAAAATAATGATTACCTCATGGTTTGGTGGTTGATTACTGGAATATTCAAAGGTACACAGATTTGTTACTGTTCATAATAAAATATTCAATCAAATATTTGTTTCAACCTAAGGACATTTTAAAGTCACAAATAAACAAAACTTTTAACAAAATTGGGACTTGTCAAGTACAGATTAAAAAGAATATACTTTTCTGTCTAAAAATTGATAACACAATACACAAACAACGTTTTTGAGCAAATTTTTTTCTACAAATTTGCCTAAAGAGAAAGTAAAGAATGAATATATTGCCTAAAGAGAAAGTAAAAAATGAATATATTGCCTAAAGAGAAAGTAAAAAATGAATATATTGCCTAAAGAGATAGTATAAAATGAATATGTTGCCTAAATAGAAAGTTGAAAAATGAATATATTGCCTAAAGAGAAAGTAAAGAATGAATATATTGCCTAAAGAGAAAGTATAAAATGAATATATTGCCTAAAGAGAAAGTAAAAAATGAATATATTGCCTAAAGAGAAAGTATAAAATGAATATATAGCCTAAAGAAAAAGTATAAAATGAATATATTGCCCAAAGAGAAAGTAAAAAATGAATATATTGCCTAAAGAAGAAGTATAAAATGAATATATTGCCTAAAGAGAAAGCTAAAACTTGAATTCCACAATGATGAGCAACTAAACTCTCTGGAATAGAGCTCATACCTAGAGGGAATAGTATTTTTTTTAAATATTATATAAAAATAACAAAAGTTGAATTAACCAATATACCTAACTATTTAGTTTTATCTCCCCCCCATTTTAGCTACTACATATAAATACCTCCTTCATATCCCTTAATTGAAGGGAGTGAAAAGGAAAAATGAAAGGGGGTATAGGCTGAAACCTAAGCATTTTAAGAGTTGATCGATACCCATAAGAGTTCTATCTGATGTTCCTGTCTCGAAATATTGATAAAAACTGTGTCAAATTTATACGAAAATCTATATGTAAATAAAATTTTGTATACAAAATAAATCCATACCAATCCAGATACAACCTTCAGTATACTCTGGTATCTGTCTTGCCATATACAACTCGGTCTTGAACTCCAAGTTCCTCAATATTGAATTGTCCAGATACACTCAAATCTGGAGTTGGAGATTCCTCAATATTGTATTGTCCAGATACATTTAATCTCGAGTTGGAGATTCCTCAATACTAGCTGTATCGTCCAGATACACTTAAATATTAAACTGGAGATTCCTAAATACTGTATCATCCAGATACACTTAATCTCAAACTGGAGATTCCTCAATACTAGCTGTATCATCCAGATACACTTAATCTCAAACTGGAGATTCCTCAATACTGTATCGTCCAGATACACTTAATCTCAAACTGGAGATTCCTCAATACTGTATCGTCCAGATACACTTAAATCTTGAACTGGAGATTCCTCAATACTGTATCATCCAGATACACTTAATCTCAAACTGGAGATTCCTCAATACTGTATTGTCCAGATACACTTAATCTCAAACTGGAGATTCCTCAATACTGTATCGTCCAGAAACACTTAATTGATCTCAAACTGGAGATGCCTTAATACTGTATCATCCAGATACACTTAAATCTTGAGCTGAAGATTCCTCAATAATACCTTAGTCAATATCAATCCAGATACGACTCTATCTGTATTCGAAAGTATCTGTATAAAGATACAATTCCTAGCCTATCTCTCAAGATCAGACTCAGAAACATCTCATTTGCTGAACCAGGAACAAATTACTCTCACACCGTAATAAAGCTGAGTATTATTCCAACTAAAATTTATTTTGATTTCTATTGTACAGGTTACATTACTGAACGTAATTACAAGTTTTATGTAGTTATTGATAGTGTAGTTAGGTTTAAATCGCAATATAGGTTTTACATAGTTATTTAAAATTGTAGTTAGGTTACAATGGAAAACTTGATATATATATAGGTGTGTTCAGGTTTATAAATATATAAAATAAATGCCACGATATTTATTACAATAGAACTCTCATGGGTGTCTATTAACTCCTGAAATGCTTAGGTTTCAGCCTTTACCCACTTTAATTTTTCCTTTACACTCCCTTTAAACCCTTTACCCCTCCTTAACCCTTTCCAGCCTCTCCCCTTCAGCCCCATTTTAACCTACGCAGTCTGCTCCCAACATTGACAACATTTTAAGCTCTGCAACACTCTCATAGTTAGGACCTCCAGCTATAGTTAGAACTCCATCATGTATACTCCTACAGAACTCAACCTAAACAACATGTTAGTAAACCATAGTTAGGTCCTCCAGCTATGGTTAGAACTTCATCATGTATACTCCTATAGAACTCAACATAAACAACATATGAGTAAACCATAGTTAGGTCCTCCAGCTATGGTTAGCACTCCATCATGTATACTCCTACAGAACTCAACCTAAACATAAAAGTAGACCATAGTTAGGTCCTCCAGCTATGGTTAGAACTCCATCATGTATACTTCTACAGAACTCAACCTAAACAAAATATTAGTAAACCATAGTTAGGTCCTCCAGCTATGGTTAGAACTTCATCATGTATACTCCTATAGAACTCAACATAAGCAACATATTAGTAAACCATAGTTAGGTCCTCCAGCCATGGCTAGAACTCCATCATGTATACTCCTACAGAACTCAACCTAAACAACATATTAGTAAACCATAGTTAGGTCCTCCAGCTATGGTTAGAACTCCATCATGTATACTCCTACAGAACTCAACCTAAACACCATATAAGGAGACTATAGTTAAGTCCTCCAGCTATGGATAGCACTCCATCATGTATACCCTATAGAACTCAACCTAAACATATAAGTAAACCATAGTTAGGTCCTCCAGCTATGGTTAGAACTCCATCATGTATACTCCTACAGAACTCAACCTAAACACCATATATGTAGACTATAGTTAAGTCCTCCAGCTATGGTTAGCACTCCATCGTGTATACTCCTATAAAACTCAACCTAAACATATAAGTAGACCATAGTTAGGACCTCCAGCTAAGGTTAGAACTCCATCATGTATACTCCTACAGAACTCATATTTAATATCTTTAAGAATTTTATTCATATAATTATATTCAAAATTTAATTATGTTTTAGATTTTAATTCAGTGACTGAAAACATAATTCATTATTCAGGAAATTGGATTTTTTAATGAATAAAATCTAATATGTTTTAAAAGGGGTAATTATACCTCTTTTGCCGCCTCCCTAGCAAGATGCCTCCATCTATCTGAATACAGTTGATTTACATCAAAGAAGCGAGGTCCAAAATATTCATCATTTGGACCTTGCAGAGGACTTTGCCCACCCAAACCAAACATGTTGATATGGTCTTTAACCAGCATTAAATCTCCAACCTGAGCAATTAAAGGGAATGTTACATATTTCAAATACACATGAGAGATTGAAGTTTGAAGCAGAATTTTGGGTTTCCTCCGCTGGAGCGGAGGCTACAGTAAGGAAATTATTTCCATTGGAGGGAATGTTTTCTTTTTATTCAAGGCTAATTACTCCATCCGAGGGATGGGAATTAACTCTCAGGAAATAATTATTTAATCGGAGGGATGATAATTAATTCTCAGGACATAAATATTTAATCGGAGGGATGGTAATTAACTCTCAGGACATAATTATTTAATCGGAGGGATGGTAATTAACACTCAGGAAATAATTATTTAATCGGAGGGATGGTAATTAACTCTCAGAAAATAATTATTTAATCGGAGGGATAATAATTAAAACTCAGGACGCTAATTATTCCATTGGTGGGATGGTAGCTAACAATAGACACTAATTATTCCATCGCAGGGATGGTAATTAACACGTGGAACACTAATTCCTCTAACAGAGGGATAGTAATTAGCAGTAAGGACACTAATTACACCATCGCATGGGAGGTAATTGACACTCCAGTTGAGTAATTAGAGTCCTGAGTATTGATTACCATCCCTCTGGTGGAATGAATAGAGTCCTTAGTGTTAATTACCATCCCTCCGCTGGAGAAATTAATGTCCTGAGTGTTAAATACCATCCCTCTGATGGAGTAATTAGTGCCATGAGTGTTAATTACCATCGCTCCGGTGGAGTAATTAGTGTGCTGAGTGGAAATTACTATCCCTCCGATGATAGATAGATAGATAGATATATATTTGACTAAATATTTAGTTAAAAACAATTTCAATTGCACAATTTTTACATTTTAATTTAGCCAGGGCCTCTCTAATCATTGTTGGTTGTTTTGAATGAGAGGCCCTTCTGCAGCGATCATACATGTTCAATTTACATAAAATGGAGCTATGAGAATTCATTAAAAAATGTTTATTCCCTCCGTTGGAAATAATTTCCCTCCGGTGGGCTCCGCTCCAGCGGAGGGAACCAAATATGCTGCTGCAAACTTCAATCCCTCCATTGTGCCGGGGAAATTTAGTGTGGCCAACCGGATAATATCTTTTTGAGTCTATAGTTTTAAGTGGGTTGAGGAGGCCTATCTAAAATTCCCGGGCACTTTTTTTTGTTGGAGACCTTAATTTTGGATCTATCTTGTAGCTCAATTTAATATGAGTGGGGAAGAGTTAAACATCTTTATTAATAACTATTGCAATTTTTTAGAATGAAGATACGAGACTTGCTTGGCATTAGAGGCAAAAGCCAACTACTTCATCTGAGTGCGGGTTACTATAGACTGCCTTCTTTTCTCCGACTTTTTGCTGGTTTCATTTTATGCTCGGACTGAGCGCATTTCTCCGTCTCTGCGTAGAGTAGACGGACAGTTTTATGAATACTTTGACAACACTAAATTATCACTTTTAATTTGAATCATATTTTTAATGTAAGGATCCATCTGTGCACCATGAAGAGTAAAAAATAAATAAATCTCAATAAAGTTAAATCATTTGGATTATAGTTAGTATTTGCTTTGAACCATAAAAAATGCTAGTTTTAAAGAAGAATGAAATAAGGAGGAACGGGAGAAATTCAAAGAGAGAAGGATTAGGATATAAGGAGAAAAGTAGGGGAAATATTTGATAGGATGAACAAACAAGGGATAAAGAATAGAGAGAGGATAAACTAAGGAGAAATTAGGATAGGGTGAGGGTGTAAAGGGTAAAAGATATAAGGAGAGGATAAGGATTGGAATCTAATTCTTAATCTAATCTTGACTAAATCTTAACCTTCTCAAATCTACCTTTTTTAAATTATTGATGTGTGATGAGAGTGTGTGAGATGGATTTTGTGTGTGTATTGTGTGCATGTTCGTGAAGATATCAAATAAAGGGTTTAACTCATTTTTATTAGAAGACAATTAAACATCGAAACTGTGTAATACCTTAAGACTGAGTAAAGACGACTTTTTAAATCTCATATTTAACGAATCATGGTGATTCACCATATTTAATTCGAACTTTTAAAATTAGTAACACACAAACTTAAAGAAGATTCTTTTTTTAAAAAATAATTTAAAAAATCAGGTTTTGTGTTTAATTTCAAATTAAGTAAACACTTCCTTTAATCAAAAAGAAATTAAGCTGGATTGTTTATCTAAGAACTTCTGCAGAGAAAAATGTCTAAACGAATTCTGTCTGAAAATAACCCTATATGATTGTACAGGGTGTCCCAAAAACATGGGAATTCAGTGACGAATTTTTTATCGTCTTTGTTATGCATTAGCATTGTAATACCTAATTTCAAAAGCCATAATATTATTATGTCTGCTAGAGTTTATTTCATGAAAAGGGTAAAAGACTGCAAAGATGTGTCTATAATGTCTCCGCAAGATGAACAGAGAAGACGGACAAGTTTACTCTGTTTGTATACTGCAATTTTCTTGTTTTACTAAGTACAACCGTATGCAGTCAAAACATAAACAAACAAAATGTGAATATAGCAGACGAAACGCTTACAGATTACAGTTTTCTATGTAGGTATCACTATACTAAATCAAAGAATTATTTGAAAAGACGATATCGAATTCGTCACTGAATTCCCATGTTTATAGGGACACCCAGTATCTGCTGTTTACTAAGAAATTTTATTTACAAACCTGATATAATGGATTAAGAGCCCCAACTGCGTTTGTTATAATAATGTTCCTAACATCCAGATATATTATCAAGTACAATAGGTTGCACTGGAAAATTTGTATAACATCTAGTCTCATGGTATCATTAAATTTCGATTCTTTGCAATAAACTCAATTTTTTTGAATCCTTAGCAAAGCTGGTTTAAATATATAATGACTATATACGATATTGTGCTGCTAAGATATAGAAATTAGAGTTAGTGGCGGAAACTCAATTCCCTGAGACGGAAGTGAAACTTGTACATTTTGTTCTGCTATATAATTTCTTTTTATACAGGGTGTCCCAGAAACATAACAGCAGCAAGACGACTTGAACGTCGTCTATGATTCTTTATATCATTTGCTGCATTTATTTGTCAACCTAACTTTAGAAGTAAAATTCTAGAGATAGAAATTACAAAATTACATGACATTTCTAAAATGTAGTCTGCATTTTTGTGCTTTCGATATTACCCGATTCATGAAGAAGTTCGTTCAGATTTTGACATTTTTGGTTTTATTTAACATAATTGAAATATAAGCAAAATTCATAATATCTCCGGTAATATTGACAGCAAAAAATGCAGACCACATTTTGGAATAGGAATAGGAATAGAATAATTTTGTTGATTATTGTTTCAAGATTCATACATGTTAAAGTAGGTTTAATACTAAATGTCACAAATAAATTCCAAGATCAAAGACGACTTTTAAGGCGTCTTGCTACCGTCATGTTTCATGGCATACACCCTGAATGGTCCTCTACGCTACACAAACAGCTGCTACATTTGACACCAATTGCTTGACATTATGCATAATTGCATGAAAACCTAAATTGTGCTTGATAATCTATATTTGCCTGATACCAAGTAGTTTCATCACTCTAACTGGTAGAGCTATATGCCATAGAGGGAAGCCTTCGTAACAGTGCACACGGCCCTAGTGAACAATATTATAAACTTAACAATCTATAATTTTGTTATCTAAATGGGACTGTAAACACGTTATTTTGTTATCTTAAAGGGAGTAGGGACTGTAGACGTAATTTTGCTGTCTTAAAGGGACTGTAGAAACGAAATTTTGTTATCTTCAAGGGACTGTAGAAACGTAATTTTGTTATCTTAAAGGGACTGTAGAAACGTTATTTTGTTATCTTAAAGGGACTGTAGAGACGTTATTTTGTTATCTTAAAGGGACTGTAGAAACGTAATTTTGTTATCTTAAAGAGACTGTAGAGACGTTATTTTGTTATCTTAAAGGGACTGTAGAGACGTAATTTTGTTATCTTAAAGGGACTGAAGAGACGTTATTTTGTTATCTGAAAGGGACTGTAGAGACGTTATTTTGTTATCTTAAAGGGACTGTAGAGACGTAATTTTGTTTTCTTAAAGGGACTGTAGAGACGTAATTTTGTTTTCTTAAAGGGACTGAAGAGACGTAATTTTGTTATCTTAAAGAGACTGTGGACGTAATTTTGTTATCTTAACGGGATTGTGAACGTAATTGTGTTATCTTAAAGGGACTGTAAAGACGTAATTTTGTTATCTTAAAGGGACTGTAGATACGTAATTTTACTATCTTAAAGGGACTGTAAACGTAATTTTGTTATCTTAAAGGGACTGTAGAGACGTAATTTTGTTATCTTAAAGGGACTGTAGAGACGTTATTTTTTATCTTAAAGGGACTGTAGAGACGTTATTTTGTTATCTTAAAGGGACTGTAGATCCCCCCCTGCAGAAAATTTACAAGAGTAAAGGCTGTGATATTGTGCATTTATTTTTATAGTTCTAGTTTTAGGCTATTTAAGATTTTTAAGAAACTCTGACCGTTCTAGCTGCATCCTTCCGTACACACAAAAAAAAGTTTTTTGTTTTTAAAATTACCCTAAAATGTTGTATTTCAAGTTTAACCCAGAACTGTTGTCTTGGTAATTTTTCAATGGGATATTTGAGCTATTATACGGTATACCAAGATCTCACTAATTGTATAAAGTAAGAAATAGCCATGAAATATGAGGGAACAGTTTGAAAGTAATCAATCAAATTCTAATTATCTGCAGCATTCCACTTATCAGTAGGTTTAAAAACGACATTTTATAAATTCTTTCGTTGTCTCCGACGTTCTCGGATAAGCTGTTATATTTGAGTCGATGTGGCTCAGCGATATCCTATTCAAAAGTTTGAACCTCAGAGTAAACTGCCTGGAATATCATTGTAGTTTAGATTAGTCGCATTAGTTACCAGATCTCCTAACTCACCTATAATAATTAACCTATTTTTAATTAAAATCTAGATTTAATGATTGTTTTTTCAATTATTTTTGATACAAATGAATATTAGTCTTTGATTTTCTAATACCTATAACTTTGCAATCCAATGTTGCAGAACGTGGATATTTCGAACTATTAATTCTGTTTGACCAATTAATCTAAGTTTAAAATATCAAAGGCTTACACCATCAGGTAGCAAAGAAATTGGGGTTAGAAAATATGAGTTCAATTCCTTTTACTGTATTTTGCCTACTCGTTAGAAGCTTAAGCCACAGTGAGACCCATGCGATGGTTGAATAGAAAGACGACTTTCAGATCAGTCATTTGATTTTAGATAGTCCATCAAAATGAAACACAGTAATTGAACAGTGTACAGTGTACACAAACCAAATTCACTTAAAGTTTTAAGTTAAAACTATTTGTAAATAAGAGCATAAGTTTGTTTGATTAAATATCGTCTTATATTCCAGAGTGTTGGGTCTCTCTGTAGAAGCCCTCACTCTTGGCAACATTGAAATTATAAAATCCAGGGCTACAAAATAAAGAGTCTAAAAATATCAGTTCCATGTCAGCGGCCGTGGAACACTTCGAGGTTTTCCCATTTTACGTTATTATAAACAAATATTCACAAACAAGCATACACATTACACATGTGGCGTAGTTTAAATTTGAATACATTTTTTATAATATATATGGGTTTATAAAAATATGCAACATTATGCAAAAATAGACGGCATTGACTATTACTTTTTAATTGATATTTCTATCATTTCAGTGATAAAGTAATTCATTTTCAAATCCATAGATCTATAAATTATTTATTATCGTATTTAATAATTCATGTAAAATCGGAGCTATCCATGCATGCTTTGACAATCAAAATATTTAAATCTACCTAATCCAGATCCACAGATGATCCCCACCAATGGTTTCATCTCACACCTCTAGGTATTAAAAAAGGGAATTTTCCCAAAGGTGAGTTCCCAAATGTTCAATTTTCCAAGCTGTAATTTCACCTGTGGTTAGGTTAGGTTGGCTGCAATGGGGGGCCTAGCTCTGAGGCTAGAATGGGTAAGGGCCAAACTCTGCGGCTAGAACAGGCTAGGGGGCCGAGCCCCGCGACTGGGATATAATATAAAAGTTGTCGCTTGGGAAATTGCACATTTGGGCAGTTTCCACTTGGGAATATATCCTTGGAAAGTGGCCGCTTTATGGAAATAAATGACAGACTTATTTCGGAAAGATAAAACATTTCCGGATGTTTCAAATCAAATCAAATATTAAATACTTAACAACAGTAATACATCCCATGAGGGAAAAGGCTCTGTTCAGAAATTTCCCTGTAAGCAGCTTTGTGTCAGGAGAGAAGGGGGGTATCTTAAAGGGACTGTAGAGACGTTATTTTGTTATCTTAAAGGGACTGTAGAGACGTAATTTTGTTTTCTTAAAGGGACTGTAGAGACGTTATTTTGTTATCTTAAAGGGACTGTAGAGACGTAATTTTGTTATCTTAAAGGGACTGTAGAGACGTTATTTTGTTATCTTAAAGGGACTGTAGAGACGTAATTTTAAGTGATTCTCCATTTATAGAGTGGCATGGTCCGATGTTCATCATGTGCTATCTGAAAATTGGTTTTTATAAATTTTAGTTTCTCTTAAATGTAACTGGCGCATTTCTGCATGAGAAACGATTTAGGAAATTGTGAGAATTAAAGACTTGTCAAGTTAAAGAAACTTTCACATAATTGATATCAAGGGTGCGGTGTGAAATTTGATGTTAAATTTTTGTAAGAGAACTACCTGCATTAAAACCACGGGGACTTCATTCAAATATCCAAGGATCAGTTTTCCCTGTTAAATAAAAACAAATTAAAAAATTGTATTTTTTACAAAATAAAAGTGCTTACTTTGACTTTAATTGATTTAGTTTATTGAATCTTTTAGATGGATTGAATGATTAGATTAAGATAAAAGGGTTTTTAACAAAATAAAAATTGATTAAATTCAAATAATTATATTGACGTTTTCATTGCACAACTGATGTGTCTCACGTTCATTGAACTATTTAGGATTATTTAAAGTCTATTCCAGATTTTATTGTAGAAAAGATGATCGATCCTCTTTACCTTGTGCCCTGGTGCTGTGGAAACAGGAAATCCTGATTTTCAGTTTTCTTGATTTTCAAAAATAAAATCTTATTGTGTGTATTTCTTAAACGAGATCGGAATTTATTTAATTTAAGCCGCGTCTCAAATCCGCCCAAAACCGGTTTCAATTGAGCGCGGGCTTAAATCTTGAAACACTGAATACAATTTTAGGTAGGACCTGACATATGTTAGCCGCGTCTCAAATGTAGGCCGCGGCTCAAATTCTTTAAATTCGGGCTCTGAGTACTTTTTAATTATTAATCCCAGCAAAAAGAACCGGAAATATTTCAGATTATCAAATGATATTAGATATTTTTTGTTTATCTCTTAGGATATCAAAGCAATCAGAATTTAAAATATCTGATCTAATATGGTGAGATTACGAATCATATATGTATCTAATCAACGGATTAACATAAAAAGACTGAGAGATTTACCCCCCCCCCCCTC